GGGGGCGGGGGCGCAGAAGAGCGGACTAAGCCGGTGAAACAATAAATTTCGCGGGCATTCACGTCGATCGCCGAGAGGATGAGCCGACGTCGACGATCGACGGCCTTTGTTGGCCGGCCGTAAGCCTCCCTATCCACCCTCGGTAACCTCTCCTTCTCACCCCGAAAAGGGGGTGGGTCGGGCGAGGTGAGCGATCTCTTCCCTTCCTCGAACATCGCGGTGCACCAGACGCCGGCAAACCTGATACAATGGAACAACGTTCACGACCGTTTCGTGCCGTTTCCGCGGCGGAAACTCCCCCGGAAACGGGGACTTTAACACTGACGTCACCGGTCACCGGTCGCCACCAGCAACCTCTTTTCACAGCGGCAAGGTATCTAATGCCTCCACTCGATCCCGACCGCTCGAATTACGACGGGGTCGGTTATGCGATACCTTTTCCGTATAAGCGAAGAGAGGGATGCTCAAGGGGCGAGAGCTGCAGGCGACCGAGAAGGAAGTTCTGGTGACGCGCAGCCTGTGTGCTTCGGGATTTTATAAAGGCATTTGGAAAAATGAGACAATGTTCGGGGAGCTGTGCGGATTGTCTTCATGAATTGTGCATCAGTCGGAGAAGCCTGCGGCTTGGACCGATTTTATTCGGAATTTCGGCGCATCGACGGTATCCCCGTCGTTATTATGAAACTGATTTTTCGCCACGGATCTGTCGCCGCACCGTTTGGCTTCTGATCGATAATAGTAATATCGGGCGAGGAGCGAGAATTATTCAGCCGACGGATTTAACTCAGTCGCCCAGTGGCAGTTGATTTTGATAAATAATTCTTGAAGGCCTCGTATCCTCCAGCGGCTTCCGTTTATTCAATTTGTAGGAAAAATGGCCGTAATCCGCTCGGGTGGCCGTAGCCGAGGAATGCAGCCGTTTTACAATAAATATCCGGCCGATAAGCTGTGCAAAAGTCCGGTGCCCGGTGAACCGTTGAGGGGAGCACATTTTTATTTTTGTAGGCACGCGAAATTTATGGTTGACGAATGGCTCTCGGAGTTTTTCTCCGGGAAATAGCTCGTTAATCTTTCGAATTATTCTCGCTTCCAACTTTGCCACGGTTTGCTACGCGCGTGCTTCGCGGATCGGCGATATTTCGTTCGCGCCAAAAGGTGTAAGCCATGCATATGTATATCCCTCTGATAAGATTACACACAGACAGCTGCCACACCGTTATACGTACGGATCGAGTTTAACAGTATGTACGCGTATCAAACACTCCGGTGCATACTTTAATTTTTGCTTATTATCCGTCATACCGTCGTTTTTTGTTGGATTATCCTCGGGTCACTATCTATTTGGGTTATCGTAATTACCGACATTTAAATCGGATTACGCGCTTCGTAATTAACGCCCGTGCAAACATAAAGATATTCGCACGCGTTTTCGCGCGAAAACATTTTCATTAGCACGCGATCCGGAAAAAAAGGGTTCCGTTCGCGCGCGAAACGATTGCATAGCTATTATGAAACGATTTTCACCGGTCGCGTCGCAGCGCGTGCCTCTAATTTGAAGTTTTCCAGTAAACAAAAGGGCGCACGGTTTCGACGCGTATCCATCCGAACAATTAGGCAGTCGCATCACCGGTCGGCAACGAACGAAACGCACTCGTTTGCATTGACGTTCGTCAAGTCAAATACCCGTGAGCCGTACGAATTTCGTTCGTTCCCGGCATGCTCGAAAAATGGAAGGTGTCGTGACCACCGTGGCGGGAAAAAAAGACGATTGGCTCTAACCACTCAAGGGGTTGTTGTCGCTTGATAACGTCGTCGACCGAACGGTGTCGACGGGTTCATTAAAATGCACATCCGCAAGCCGCGAAGCTTCACTCGACGCCCGCCTCGCGTTCCTTTTATTTTACATCCAGCACGGTTCTTCAATACATTGCCTGTAACTTCTGTGCGAAGTTTTTCGTTCAAAACATATTCGCGGGACGGGGGTTGGGGGGGTTAGGGGGCGCGAAAGGCTCGGGCACAGGATACATAGAGAGCCCAGAGAGGGGAGGGAGAGGTAGTGTGGCGAGAGAGCTCGAGTTAGGGAGAAAGGTAGTGCTCAACGGCGTCGAGGCTGCAACCGACACGGCAGTCTTGTAGTTTCGAAACAGCTCTCCAATTTTAATGAGACCCGTCTATTTCTCCGCGATTCTGTCTCCGTGTTACGGCCTGTCTTCGTGTAATTATATTTTGATTCCTCGAGCTGCGCAGCCTCCACCCCCCTCGCTGGCGGCCCGTTCCCTCGCGTTTTCTACCTCCCGATGCCCATCCCTTGTCACGGTCTCGAACTTTTCCCTCTCTTTCACTCCGGCCCTTGTCCCCGATGTAACCGTCCGTCCTCCTCCTGGTCGTTGTCGGTATTATCTTCGTGCGCCGTTCTCCTCGTTTTCTTTCTATTTCGTTCCGTGTGCACGAACCCAGTAGAAGGTCGTTGTGAATGCTAATACATCCACCTCTTCAACTCTCCACGGCCAGCATCGACTGGCTGGATCACGGTTAGTCCGCCCCCTTGGGTCACCTTCCTTCTTCGCCGACAGTCCGTGGCTGTCCTCTCCTTCCGGTTCCCGGCACTCGACCAATTTGTTTTGCTCCACAGATTGAGTTACAATTCGGGGTAAATAGAAAACTACCACCCCTGGCTGGTCCTGTTCGCGGAAATTCGCTTTGCATTCCCTTTATTTCACTGCCCGCCCCATTGACCGCCACTTCGGAGCATCCTTACTTAATTACCGGCTAGTTACGATACTTGAACAACTTCTCGTGGTCGGTATTCGAGAACGTCTCCGGTCCCCTCTCTATTTCACCGTCGCTCTCGTATCACGGGTATAACTTATTAACGGGCAAACAAAGCCGTAAGTCTCGCGGATCGGCAAAAGAAGATAATTAACGGTCTTGACGGTGACGGGGGCGCAATCACGCGCGCGATCGCGCGTACGTGGCCACACACGCGGGATAGAATTTGCATGGACCGTTTCGCAAGGGGTGGCTACCGTTTCGAAACACAATACAATTCGATGCTACAATTCACAATCAAACGGTATCGAGATGCAACGAACGGTGGAATCGTGCCGCGGCCGTCGGCATAATTTAAGCGACGAACGTATATCATTTTGTCGTTCAATTAAATGTATTAAAATATAAATCTTGATATCGGCCGCTGGCCGCAGAATAGAACCAAATGAAATCATTTCCTTTCAATTGCAAGCGTTTGTGCAGTAGAGTGGATTTAAAGAGGACGCGTCCATCGATTCTCACACCGTCGCCTTCCGTACACGTACACCCGCACACGTACGCGTAGCCACGTAGGTACGTTC